GCTATATGTATTGTTTGGAATTTATTTTTATGGTGAAGATTTTGAAGGGGTTCCAGCGAGCACAAATATCCCAGGGATGTTTTGGGATGTTTTGAAAATATATACCGGGTGGCTACGGAAGTATTGCGTCTACGGAATATCTCAGTTATTGTATGAAGTATAGGTTTGTGAAATTGGAAGCGTCGATATAATGACATAAGAGCTAGAATTCGACCATATTGACATGTCGAAGTTAACTTCCGGTCTGACCGTAAGTAACATCAACTTTCTTATTTTAAATGGAAACCCTATTTTTTTTCTTTTCGCTTTATTCAGCATTCAATTCCCTTTCTAATGACATATCACAAGTTGGTATCTAACCAGAAACTAGAACAGAAAAAAATTATTATTGAAATTCACCGAGTAGGCCGTGGAAGCAAAATGAAAGCCAAAAATTCAAAAGTTGGCTATGGAAACCATACGTCACTTGATAGCAGTTGCTACTACTGTGATATTTTATTTTCATTCGTCGGCGTTAGAAAAAGCCGCCAAAAAAAATATTGGAAAAATTGCGAAAAAAACAATACAATACAATTTGAAGAATAATAATTGGATTTTTTGGTATTTCATTTCAAAAAATGACTTTCTAATATATCATAAGAAAGGAATGGTTAAGCTGAATAGTACAGGCAAGAAGAAGTTGTATGTTCCTATTCAAGTTATGGACCTACAGAGTATTGTTTTTTTCCCAATTTTTCCAATATTTTTTTTGGCGGCTTTTTATAACGCCGACGAATGAAAATAAAATATCACAGTAGTAGCAACTGTTATCAAGTGACGTTATGGTTTCCATAGCCAACTTTTGAATTTTTGGCTTTCATTTTGCTTCCACGGCCTACTCGGTGAATTTCAATAATAATTTTTTTCTGGTCTAGTTTCTGGTTAGATACCAACTTGTGATATGTCATTAGAAAGGGAATTGAATGCTGAATAAATCGAAAAGAAAAAAAATAGGGTTTCCATTTAAAATAAGAAAGTTGATGTTACTTCCGGTCAGACCGGAAGTTAACTTCGACATGTCAATATGCTCGAATTCTAGCTCTTATGTCATTATATCGACGCTCCAAATTTCACAAACCTATACTTCATACAATAACTGAGATATTCCGTAGGCAATACTTCCGTAGCCACCCGATATATTGACATGAAGATGTTTTTTTGGGACGCAATCTGCACTTTCCAAAAAGTAGGTCTTTGAAGGATATTGAAGTATTGTTTCTGTTCTTCTGTGGCATTTCTTTGGTTGCCATATATATGCTGGATAGAGGTGTCCCTCTGGGATATTTTTTAATGTTTTAAAAATTCAGGCATCATGATGTTTTTTATTTGAGACGTGGTGAGCATTCCCAAAGAGTATTTTTAAAGGATATTGAAAGTATTTGTTTTTGTTTTTCTATAATCTAATGCATTTATTCGTTTGCCTACTGGAGGAAGTATACCTATATACGCCTATACCCTCTGGGATGTTTAAAAAATGTTGGCATAAAGATGTTATTTTTACGTTCAACGTCACAATACGATGAATTCTGATGATTTGTTTCTGATTTTGTCGTTTCTGTGCCCATTCGGGTTTGCAGTTCTTTTTATTCCATTATTACAATAGCAACGATCTCCTGCTATTTTTCTCAGAACAGAAGCAACGATCGACATATATAGGTGTATTATTCATTCTAATTAAAAATGACCATCAGACGTGTCGTCCAGCGCCTAATATTTTACGAACGTCGATCGTACTTTTTTTGGAATATTCTGATAGAATGTTCTCAGAACGATCATAGAATATTTTCATCTTGCATGGCAACGAATAATCCATGAACATTCAGTTCGAAATAATCTCAGAATGTTCTGAGAAATATACAGAATCGTATCAAAATAATATGATATGGATGTAATTCTTGTATCAACCCTAACAACACGAGTATATCAGGGCCTAATCTAGGTGAGATACAGTAGGCCCTGAGTATATACAGTCTGTCCAAGATAAGGTTGAACAGCATGGGGATCTCGAAAACGGTAAGAGATACGAAATCGGTTAAATGGGGAAAAAGTTGCGCATTCGGAGGCTCATATCAAGAGCCTTCGAAAATTTTGAAAATTATTTTTAGTTTTTGAGTTATATCGAAAAAAGTGAATTTTTGGAATTTCTATTTTATTTTTTTTCTCCGTTATTATTAGAGATACAGGAAAACTGAGAATACTTTTTCATAGCAACTTTTGATGACGGTCAACGTGGTGATACCGATTTTTTCATGCGACGTTTCGTATTCGTGGAACCATCATCAACTTTTGTTTTTTGAATACGGTCCTGATAATTTTTTCGCAGATTCTAAAAGGTTTTTTTATTCTGAATTCAACCATGTATTATACAAGGTGGTTCATTTGTGTTTCGACCTATTTCCATCCATCATCAATGTTTTTTCGAAACTCCAAAGGAAAAATGCCATCAGTTCCACTTATTTTGAAGGAAAATTAGTCAACACACTAATACCTCATCAACTGGTTTCAATCAACAACCCATTTCATTTTGCGGAAACAAAAATTCCATCCATACAAATTCAGAATATGTCAAGCGCTAAAACCATCAGGAGATGACGAAAGGCGCAAGACATCCTTTGAGTGGTATACCAGGAAATGTTAAAATTTTGCAGATTTCTTTCGAACAATCATCTGGACTGATGAAAGCATGGTCACTAATCATGGTAGCTTCGATAGAAAAAATACACATTATTGTTCTCGAGAAAATGAACATTTATACATTACAGCGAGACACCAACACCGTTTCGGCTTTAATATGTGGGTTGCAATATTTGGTACACGAATTATTGTTCCTTCTATTTACCATGAAACACAGACTTCCGAACGTTATAGAAATTCGCTTGAGAATCATCTTGAGGAAGCTCTGGATGATTTACCGATTGCGGAAGTTCAGAACTCTGTTGGTTTCAACAAGATGGCGCTCCGGTACATAATTCCAGAGAAGTCCGTGCGTTTTTATCCCTTGGCCGGCGCGATCGCCTGATTTGACACAGCTGGATTTTTTCTTAGGGGATATATCGAACTTTGTACACGCAAATAACTTTGAGGATGAAGAAGAACTAAGGGACAGTGTCTTCGAAGCATTCAATAGAATAACCCCAGAAATGCTTAGCAATGTCTTAGAAACAACTGTGATAAGAGGATATCTTTGTTCAGAAAATAATGGTTATCATTTTGAACATTTGTTATGAATGTCTCTGTAGGTATTGTCAAAGTTAAGTTGTTAAAGTAATTCGTGTAAGAATTCATCAACAATTTTAAACGCTGCATTGATCGAATGATGTAGTGAAATATTTTTTATTCACTTTTCAGTATTGAATAACTAATTCATCAAGTTTGACACTAAATGATAAGAAATAAGTGGAACTGATGGCTTTTTTCTTTTGGAAGTTCGAAAAACATTGATGATGGATAGAAATAGGTCTAAACACATTCGAATCACCTTGTATAGTACATTGTTGAATTCAGAATAAAAAAACCTTTCAGAATCTGTGAAAAAATTATCAGGACCGTATTTAAAAAACAAAAGTTGATGATGGTTCCACGAATACGAAACGTCGCATAAAAAAATCGGTATCACCACGTTAAACCTCATTAAAAGTTGCAATGAAAAAAAATTTTCAGTTTTTGTGTATCTCTGATAATAACGGAGAAAAAAAAAATAAAATAGAAATTCCAAAAATTCACTTTTTTCGATATAACTCAAAAACTAAAAATGATTTTCAAAATTTTCGAAGGCTCTTGATATGAGCCTCCGAATGCGCAACTTTTTCCCCATTTAAGCGACTTCGTATCTCCTACCGTTTCCGAGATCCCCATGCTGTTCAACCTTATCTTGGACAGACTGTATATAGACCTTCTGGTACGTCCCTGGGATGTACTGAGTACGAAGAAGGGATATTATAGGTTACACAGATTGTACGTATCAAGGAGAGAGTATATATGCTACAGATGTGAAATAACGTCAAGACAGAATTGCTATCACGTGAATGACTGATCCTCAACCAAAACGCGTTGTTGTGTCCAGGAAGAGGCTATCTGCTATATGTTTTTGTGCTCGCTGGGGTAGAGCGAGCGTTTTCCTCCCCAACCTCTCTACGCCACTGGGAAAAGTAGTTTTGAGTCACACATTCGAACCGCCAATGTTTTCTACACGAAAAAATACTCTAGGTCATAACCATAACACAGTAGAGCAACTGTGGTCATAAATAAGCTCTAAAGTTGACCGTTTACGAGAAAAATCAACTTTTTTATGTTGAAAATCATGGTAATTTTTTTTGTAGAATCTGCGTGCATTGAAGCTAATCGCGGACAGTTCAAACAATGATTAATTCAACTGAGTATGATTTGTTGTTTTTTATTTCAATTTTGCAATATGAAGTTGACGTTTGTATTTGTTACTAATTCTAGTTAGTTGCTTTTTTCTTGCAATCAATGACTATGTCAACTGTTGAGCTCATGACCAAGTGTATCTTTTTTGTGTTGGCTGTTAAAATATCACACATCCTGTCCTATCATGTCCTGTGCATATATTATGAAACACCATGTATAGTGCTGGTGTAGTGGTTGATTGATTGATCTTTTTTTTTTTTTCAGTTAGTATATAAACCTCAAATTAAAAGTGAATATTTTATACAAGATGGCTCAGAAAATAATGATATTTATTTTTCACTTTCTATAAACAGATCAATCACATCTTTTGAAACACCATAATCCTCTTTATCCACCATCATTAATGCAATTTTCAATTTTATCAAGTTATACTTTTCAGCTTCCCAAATATTTTGTTGGAACTGAAAACACAAATGTTCATTCATATAGTAGAACAGTAGCTCCTATAGTGAAGTTACTAATAACTTAATGAAAAGTTGTCAATTACATTAATTCCTGATTTTAAATTTCATCACCTAATTTCAAGTCTGTTCACAAAAAAATCTACAATGTCTTTTGTATTTTTATGTTTTATTTATAACAAATAGTTTACAAACTATGTAGATTTCTTGACTGGTTTTGCTCCCTCCCTGAAACCATTACGGAAACGCCTTCTGACAATTTTGAGGTGACGAAGACGGCCAGTTCCAGTGGTCTTCCTCCTTTTGGCTTTCACTGACCAGTTATCTAAAAAACAGTATTGAACATTAGTATAGAACTGACACATAAAAAATATTGCAATTGTTATAAGATGCAGGCTACTGTGAACATTGTTTTTGTTAAGAAAACTTAAAACATAGCTACAGATGAAAACTGAGCAGGAACATGAGGGATGTTGAGTGTCAAGAAATTAGCAACATTTCACTAGGTAGACCTTCAAGAATAAAATGTTAAATTGGGGAATCTACCATGTTACATGCATTCTTCTGAAGAATCTGGAGTGGACACTACTAGACACTCAACAGTTTCATATTTATGTAGAGCACAGCATACTTACAGGAACGTAGCTTGGCAGCAGGGTATCCACACTGGGCACACTGTGACTTCTGGATGTGGTACGAAGACCTTCCACACCTCCTACACAGAGTGTGAGTCTTGTTACGCCGTTTTCCGAAACTCGAAGTACCCTTCGTCTACAAAATACAGAAAAAATAAATTATAGAGGACACCATTCACCATAACATAGAGTTGAGAAAGTAGGGTTAAGGTCACTAAATACCACTTCTTTCGCAAACTTTAGGAGAAATATTTCGTGAAACTGATTAATAACGAACGATCAAATATGAAACTGCAGGAATATTATCGTTTTAGTTAGAGATCGTCGAAATAATTTTGTAATCTCATAAAGTTTTCCAAAACACCTACCATTTTGACAGATACTCATACAAAAGAAAGAGAAAGATAAACTTATAAAAAGAAAAGAAATGAAATGAACCATGGAACATGGAACATCAAATATGATCAAATCATTGCTCCCAACCGAAGACAGCTAAATATCTAGACTGTCTGGCGGATAACCCGTCAGACGGTCTAGATATTTAGCCGTCATTGTCCCAACTGCAAACCAGAACCCAGCGAATTCCATTGGTAAAACTGGCTCGCACTGAGTGCACATTTTGTATTCCATTGGTAAAACTGGTGTCGGATTTTTAATTCGATTGGAAAACTGGTTCGCATAGTTTAAAGCTCAGTGCAATAATTCTCGCACGAGCTCTAATAGGTCGTGCAAAGTCAGTGCAGTTTTGAAAATGGCGGAAACATTGAATATGCATGGTTTAAAAACCAAAATTGAGTGGCAATCTAATCATCATCATCAAGTAGTGATGAAAATTTGGAGGTTTCAAGAAAATAACAGAGATTACTTCCCAGAATTCACAATTTTGTTGAGTGTTTTGCACTATAATTCAATGATGAAGAGGTACTTATTAAAAAAACTGCTCAAAATTATTTCCATGAAACATCTACTTTGTTTTCAATTGAAGTCAAGAAAGAATTTCAGGATGCGGACAAGTTATAAACGAATACAAACCAATTTATCCGATTTAACCTCCAACAATAAAATTCTATTATATCATTTCGTATTCCATTGGGAATGCACCGTTCACATTTTGGAGAGAACTAACGTAGTCCGGGTGCAAAACTGGTGCAAAACCAGTGTACCACCAGGTTTACGAATGGAATTCGCTATAAATCTGCTGTGGTACGCATGCAGGAAGAGCAAAACCAAACGAACAGCAGGGCTGTCAAAACAGTCAAATGTCATTTGTCAAGATTAAAAACATAACCTTAAAGTTAAAATATTTTGCTTGTTTTTATTTGAATTTGAAAATAAACGATTTTCATTATTTATAGGATGGGTAATTCAACTGAAGAAGATCTATGTAGCCAAACTACAAATAGAGACGATGGAGATATATTGACTATTCTTGTTGCCACTGATATTCATTTAGGCTTCGAAGAAAAAGATCCCATCCGAGGTAAACAGCAGTTCCTTCTTTCTAGCCCAATATTATAAAGAGTACAAAATTCATTATTTATGGCTTGGAAGTACGAATATAAATAATGACTTTCCTTCTCAGATCAGGACACATATGACACATTTGAGGAAATATTAAAGATAGCTTCTGCAGAGGAAGTGGATTTCATTCTTCTAGGTGGTGATTTGTTTCATCATTCTCGACCAAGCCCTTACTGTATCTTCAAGTGTACAGAACTTCTGAGACGGTAAGATTGGTATCATTTTATTAGGAAGCTCCTTTTAAAAATTGGAGGATTTGAAAGTGTGACAATTTGTCAATTTGAGCCATTCTTATTCTGAATTGGGTTTACAAATCGAACTAAACTAACATTTATTGGTAATTAATTTCAGAAAATCAACAATGAATCATTATGAAGGTGTTTAACTGTTGATGATTGAGAAACATAAATGAAATGCCCTGATTGATGCTCAACATGATGTTAAAATATGTTTCTTATCTTCATGATTTCAATAAAAAATCTAAAATAAGCAAAAACCAAATAATTCTTGAACTTGAAACAATACTGAACTTCACTTTGAGTAATCACATTCCAAATTTTCATATTCTACATGTTTTGTCACCAAAATTTGTTAATTCTTAGTTATTAAGTTGAGTTAGTTGAAAGGATCAAAATTATAATTCTCAATTCTCTATTTGAATGACAGATGTAAATGAATTACCTGTGATTCCTATTTGGAAGTTGGTAATTGTTATTGATCATTAGTTGAATTCTTAATTTATTTTGAATTTATACACCCAGCATAAATGAAGTGTAGAGGGGTGTATTCATTATGTTTATCTGCAAATATTTTCATTCAGAAAGTTGCATGCCAATAGGCAATATGGGGTATCATTCGAATTTTGAAAAAAAAATTGATATAGAAACTTTTTCTTGTCAACACTGTCAGCAATTTTGATGTCACCTGTTCACAATTTTTTCTGCAGTAGGAAGAGAGGTAGGCAATATTATGTGATTCATAATTTGGAAGCCCTCCCAGGTATTATTCAGAAAATAAACAAGCTGTACAAAGAAACATGTAAATAATCTCGTAAATAATACTCTTCTTTGCCAAACTCAGAAGAATATTTATTTTTTGTCAAAATACAAAAACCTAAAGGATTTATCTCTGGATTTATATATTCTCATAATATTCATCTTAATCTTTATCAACACTATACCGGGTGACACAGACTATCGGGCCACCCCTGTAACTTCTGCATTCGTCAACGGATTTTTCTAAAATTTGGTACAGTTATATAAGCAACTATTTCGGATTTTATCACATTACAATCCAATATGGCGGACTTCCGGTTTTTCTGGAAATGCCAGCAATTTTGTTTTTTCAAATGGAACACCCTGTATATTTTTACATATTCAAGTTCAACAGGTCAAAACAAGTGCAATCTTGATGTCAAATGTCATTTATTCCACAGCCTACCTAGTTGAAAAATTATTCTAACTGCAAGGAAATTCATAAACTAGTTGTTGATTTTTGAATGTATACAATTTGTTACTGCACTGAAAAACAAGAATGATAATATTTCATTTTGTTCCTTGATGTATGTTCTAGAGAGACGGGTAGGTTGCCCATAGGGGTTCCATTTGAAAAAAAATAATTTTTGATCAAAAAGTGATGTGGCTGAATTGATTCCTGGATAAGTGACACAAAAAATAATTTTTCAGAAAAAAATATGTTCTTCTGTTATGTGTGACTCATTGTGAATAGTCTTGACCACATCTCATTTATCTACGAGGTAGAATGAAAAAACAATTTTAATTTAATTTTTTTCGAAAAAATTACATTTGACATAAAGATTGCACTTGTTTCTACCTGTTGAACTTGAATATGTAAAAATATACAGGGTGTTTCATTTGAAAAAACAAAGTTGCTGGCATTTCCAGAAATACCGGAAGTCCGCCATATTGGATTGTAATGTGATCAAATCCGAAATAATTGCTTATATTACTGTACCGAATTTCAGAAAAATACGATGACGAAAGCAGAAGTTAGAGGGGTGGCCCGATACCCTGTGTCACCCGGTATGTGTTTTCAACTCATGTTGTTAGGACTGTTGTAATTATTAAATTATTTGAAATAGGTGAGTATTAATATAATTGTGAATATTAATATAATTGCGAGTATAATTGTGATAGGTATCATATCTTGAATGATCTTGAAGAGCTACCCTGGCTATACCAGGCTTCTGGCATTGTCAAGAGAAATAAATCCCTCTTTCAGCTACTGTTTGGGTGACAAACCTGTTGAAATTGAATTTCTGTCTGATCCATCACGCAACTTCCATAATGTCTACAATCCCACAGTCAACTATGAAGATCCCAATCTCAATGTTTCTATTCCTGTCTTCTCTATCCATGGAAATCATGATGATCCTACTGGTCAGAAGCAGATCTCTGCCATGGATTTGATGTCCACCTCAGGCCTTATCAATTATTTTGGCAGATGGAATAATTTTGACAAGGTATAGTAGTATAATTAGGGTATAATATAGGTTTGGTAAGGTGTCATGATTTTGACAGCTCATAATGATCAATTTTGACAATGGTATAATGATTTTGACAAGGTATAATGCAAAGTTGCAATGGAAAAAATAAAAAAATTCAAATATTTTGATTAAATCTTGATTTTTTCAATTAATATAGATTTTTTTCATGAAAATGGAAATAATTAACTTCAAAATCACTCATTTCTCTCTCTATTTGCCCAAAAATATTTGTATCTTGGCAACCCTTATAGTGAATATTGATCAATTTTGACTAGATATCAATTCGGCAAGGTATCATATTTCTGACCAAAGTTATCAAAAATTCGTCATAGTGTACAGTCTCTTTGACAAGGTATAAGGATTCGAAAATCATGAGGGTCCTACTGGTCAGAAGCAAATCTGCATGTGTTCTGTGTTGGATGTCCACCTTTGGACTCATCAATTTATTTAGCAGTTTCAACTACCTACAATAATTTTATCAAATTATAATAATTTTGACACAAGGCATAATAATCTTCTCAAGGTATAATAATCATGACAAGGCATACAGAATACCTTAGACAAGAGTCCGGACACAGCTATACTTCTGTCCTTTTCTGTTTTTGAAAAATGCATTGATGATTGAAGATTGAACAAAGGAATAAGACATATATATTGAGCTCTGTCTTCTCAATTGCCCTAGTATCAATGATTGTCAGAAACAATTTTGAGGGTTAGATTATTTGTCAAACCGTTCATAACCGTAGGTAGAAGTGAGAAATAGGGCTATTTTAACTAGAATAACTATCAAATTTCAAATTGATAATTTTCATAATCAATTCCTGAGATGGCTATTGCAAATTTCCGTCATCAGATATTTCTTCACTTCATTAGATATAAGAAAGATAATTTAAGTGTGGTATCAAATATAGTTGTTTTCTGTTGGGATATAAAAAAATAGAATATATATAATTGTTTCAATATAATTTCTTCCGATTCTCTCAATTTAATAACACTCATCAGAAATAAAAGTGACAAAATTAAAACAACAATATATTTGATAGCAAGAGCTTTATTAATTGTGTTGGTTTCCCACCTCTTCCTGCAGTCTACATTCACCTGTACATTTTGAATTTGATCTGAATTAAAAACACCGTGGACTGATGACATAGCACATTGCAGTTTCTCTAAATCTTCTAGTTTTGATTTCAAACTCCCAATTTCTTTCCGCATCATCTCATTCTCATTTTCTTTCTCTGCGATCGTATCATTCAGTAATTCCCAATACGATGACGACGGGACTCTTTTTTTGAACGTCTCTATTTTATAAATTGACGGCACAGCAGACTCTTTCAATTCAAAATCCATCAGCTTGAAAAAAATCTATCAAAATGGTCCTAAAATTCATCTTTCCTGTACTGTTACCTCACATATTGCGGATTTCTTGAAATTAACTTTCCATTCTAGACGTTTCATTGCATTCTTCCATGACATTATCTTTAGAGGATCATTCGGAAAATTGAATAACTTGAATCCCTTTTCTAATGAATTATCGCAATAATGTACACAGCAGGACATTGAAATAATTTAAAATGCTAAATTTTCAAAGTGACAGTGACAGACATTCGGAATAATTGAAAAAGCGGACGGGACGACTATGGTGTTTTGTCACATTGTCAGGGGGCAAACCAAATGAAACAAAATATTGAGATTATCAAAAACCCCAACGGCTGTCAGTTTTGTGTCCGGAGATTAATTCTGATTTAATTATCATGATAAACACAGCCTACTTGGCTTTCGAGATTTCAAGTTGTTATTTCAATTTGAAGATATTTTCAATATCCATATACCTACTTGATGGTTACAAGTGGAAATTGATGAAATTCAATGGTTCCTAAGGTTGAGGTGGAACCTATTCTGTTGAAGAAGGGGGCCACTAAGTTGGCTTTATATGGATTGTCACACATCAAGGATGAGAGGCTTGGAAGGCTGTTTCTAGATAAAAAGGTATGTACCAAACAGTAAGATCAGGGCTATTCCTTTTGCAAAGGGCATTATTGTGTTCTTCTTAAAACTGTGAGATTTATTTCTCAAATTTCGAAAAAAAAAAGCATAAATGTAGGTTGACGCAGTAGATATAGGTACCATAACTTTGAAAATAAAAAGAAAGAATTTCCAGATTGAATGAACCCTGAAAAATTCGAATCTTATGTGTCATATTCTTTAGTCTCTGTAAATTATGGTTTGTAATGAATATGTTACCACCCTATGTGCAGTGTGTGACATTTTATGAAAAAATGTTCCATTAGTTTTCCGGACCAAAGTGTCAAAGTTTCAATAAAAATCTTTTCTAATTTTAATAAACGTAGTGTTATTGTTAACAGTAACAAGGAGATTTTTTGATATGTAAATGGATTTAAAATTAATATTGTACGCCACTGTTTGTTTCTGAGCTTGAATACAACTTTTTCGTTTCTTGTGTTAGAGAAAACGATATAAACTTAATTCTACTCCAAATTATTTTGTCATGAAAGTTTATACAGGGTTCTTCAATTCTCTTTTGTTTTTTGTTTTTTTTTTTCGAAAAATTGAAAAGTGAGCGCCACTAGGGACAGTATGGGCATTTCGGAAACTACAAGAGATCAGAGCATGTTCCGATATTCCCGAACAGTACTGTCCAGTATATTTTGTCGTTCTATTTTACTCGAGGGGTAAATCACTGAGCAAATTCGTGTACACCGGACTGCCATTCATACTCGGACTGCCAAGACTGCCACCGGACTGCCACGGACTGCCACGGACTGCCACCGGACTGCCACGGACTGCCACGGACTGCCACCGGACTGCCACCGGACTGCCACGGACTGCCACCGGACTGCCACGGACTGCCACCGGACTGCCACGGACTGCCACCGAAATGTAATGGACTATCACTCAATCATGTGTTCCAATAAAAATGAAGCTGTTTTTTGGAAATTTCAATTCACCACAAGAACAATGTTCACGAAAACCGTTCTGACTGAATAAGTACTAGAAATGCATCCCCGATGGTGATTAACATAGAAGAAATAAATCATCAACCGTGACCTACGATATGAAGAACTCATTGGAAACCTATGGCATAAGAAACTGATCTTTTTTGCGGTGCAATAGGTGAAGTGGAAATACACGTCAATAGTACAGAAAGCCGATGTTTTTATTTTTCTGATATACTTATTTCGTTCATTCCGTTTGGAAGGTCAAATCAGGATTTGTCTTGGTTCGTTAATATCTCGGTAAATACAAATTTTGAATTGTATTTGAGACTTTCAGATTCGCCCCAAAATGCCTCAAATGAAAACTCTGGGGGTTTGAAGTTTGAGATATCAGAATTCCGAGTTGAATATTAAAATTCCAACGATTTTGTCATTTCCTTATCAATTTGTCACAAAATCGTGGTTGAAAAATACGCATTTTGAGTCGCATATAAGAATTCAAGATGGCGTCCCATAAGATGGCAGACGATTTCAATTTCAATGCATTTTCACATCAGGGTGTCCCATAAGAAAAAGTATAACTTTGATACGCCACTCATTTCAGAATCGCCCTGTATAACGCAAAATATTTTATAAATGTACTGCTCATCAGCCTAGACCATCTCAAAATTTCTTGTTTATCTATCTTAAACAGCAAAGCCGTTATCTCACTTTCCCACAGTATTGGTTCACCCTGTTCACCTATAAATCGTAATGCACTACCCAAAAAAATCCTCGTTGTATTTTCAGAAAATTCGACCTTCATCGTAAATTCGTGATTCTTATACTTGAAAATTATTATCAAGAGTATACAGTGTCATTCACCACAAATATTCTTTCCTGATGTAATTGGGTTATTCCTGAACCACATAATTTTTTATAACACGTAAAAAATATCGTTGAAAATTAATTTCTACGGTTTTTCAAATTTTGAAAACATTCCAGAAATACTTGAGTTACAGGTCGATACATATATGGTGAATCAGATATGTACAAGTATTAAGGCAGGTATAGATAAACAAATTCTTAAACAGGTACTGCTCTGAGATCTATTTTCTTATTGAAATTTTGTGAATTCTTATTGGTTAAATACAGTATAAATACAAAATTGTCGATAAAAAGTAGTATCCTCTCTTATGCAGAAAGAATATTCTCCTTCTTCATATTATCTATATATTAGGTCGAGCTAGGTTAGATTGTTTAGAAAAATTAGTCTCCCTTCTTATGCAGAAATAATATTTTTCTTCCTCATATTATATATCATGCCGAGTTAGGTTAGGTTGTTTGCAAAAAGAAGTGTCCTTCCTTTTCCCGGAAATGGTTATATTTTATGTCCTAGAATGAGTTCAAAACATATGAAACTTGATAAAACTACCGTTTTATATGTTTCCTACTTTGCGCGCAATTACAGCATACCTTTTTTGGGACGTGCGTGCAATTGCACTATGGATTAAGGACGAGGATTATAACCGAGATTACTGACCACTGCGCGCAATTGCAGTATGCCCATAATATACAAAATTTGCGTGGGATCAACTCTGGAGCTTGAGATCCCCAAGGTGAACTTTTTTTATTCAGGCGATTCGGACTTTGAATGACAAAGTTTTCCGTCTCATTGTAGGAGCCATCTAGAATTTCAAATCTAACTCGAAAATCATGATTACTCCAAGAATAACTGATTTCTTTTCCCCATTATGGGAATTACCTTTCGTGCGCTCCAAGAGATGAAAAAAAAATGACGCCTCCCTACAGAAGTCATCTTGTTTTTTAAAATTTGGACTCGAAATTCGAAATTGCCAATCTTGAGAACCCCTACGTGTACATTTTCAGGTAAATCAGAGAACAAATAACAAAGTCGCCGCCACCTTGCGAACGCCCTCTTGAATTTTCAAATTTAGAATTCAGTTTGTGATAATTGTCGGATTACGAGAGACGAGACGAGAGACCACCAGACTGCCACCGGACTACCACCGGACTGCCACCGGACTGCCACCGGACTGCCACGGACTGCCACCGGACTGCCATGGACTGCCACCGGACTGCCACGGACTGCCACGGACTGCCACCGGACTGCCACCGGACTGCCACGGACTGCCACCGGACTGCCACGGACTGCCACCGGACTGCCACGGACTGCCACGGACTGCCACCGGACTGCCACCGGACTGCCACGGACTGCCAAAAGAATGTACACCGGACTGCCCCAGTGATTTACCCCTCGATTTTACTGGTGCAGAAATGGTAATGTAGTGCCAGTATTCATGAAATGTTAGGTCAAGCATATGAGTCGATAAAAATTATATACAGGGTGAGTCATGAGGAACTGTACATACTCCTACCACGAATAGAGGCCCTTGAGGGGCATACCTAATGACCATCAGGAAGTGTCTTCTTCCCCTCTTTACCAATATATAGGGTGAATTATGAGATTTGGCAAAAACATCTTTTGGGCATAACTTTTCAACAGCTCCTTTGATTCATCTGACTTTTTCATGGAATATTCCTCTACTAAACCATAATCGACTGACATTTCCAGAATCGGGAAAATCCTGGACCGTTTTTGAAAAATTTCGATAGTTTAGTTTTTATCAAAAAGTTCTTCCTGTATATGGTTTCTGTAAAATGTGAAAGAGAATTTTCAAAGCACACAAACAAGCATCAAAAATAAATATTCGAAATTCTCCTCACACTTTCACAGAATTTTTCAAAAAAACGATAAATTATAAGCAGAAACGAAAGATTCACAACAAAATTCATTCGAAAATGATTTCTTCCCAACGCATAAATTTTACAAATAATAGTAAGTCGCACATTTTCAATGCTTTAGCCCAATGGAAATCAATCTTTCATTACCAGGCCTGGATTTCGTCATTTCATTTTTTGTGGAGGGTAATAATCACCCTGTAGATCTTTTTCCAATAAGTAGATGGGGTATCTGTTCTGATGTTAATGGTCATCGATTCGAATAGTTCAAGATAGTCGAACAGAAAATTAAGTATTATTCAAAATTATTTTTCAAACGGTATACTGACAAAGGCGAAGAAAAATTCTAGTTATGAAAATAAGTGACCAAAAACAAATTGAGTAGATAAAACTGTGAATTGAAATCATAAAATTATTTATAGCGCAGGCCATCAAAATGTTCATAGATACTCCATCCACTGATTCGAAAAAGATCTACAGGGTGATTATTATCCTCCATATAAAAATTGAATTACTAAATCCAGGCCTGAAAACAACATAATATGTTTTCTTTCAATATGTTTTCTTTATCATAAAATTCATAGTTTTTTTTCAGACTGCAGTGAAAGTGTGAAGAAAATTTGGGATATTTTATTTCTGATGTTTGTGTGGGACCTTTGAAAATTTCCTGTCACAGTTTTCAAGAATGATATACAGAATGAACTTTTTGCTATAAACTAAACTATCAAAATTTTTCAAGAACGGTCCTGGATTTTTCCGATTCTCAATAGAGAGTAGTAGCGGAATTCCATGAAAAAATCAGACAAATCGAAGAAGCTGTTGGAAAGTTATGACCAAGAGATATTTTTGCCAAATCTCATAATTCACCGTATAATAGGAGTATGTACAGTTCCTCGTGACTCACCCTGTATTATTATTTTCAAATACTTTGGGAAACTTTATGAATTCGAACTAGAAGATCCCACAGATGCAGTAAACGCTGAAACTGTCAAAAAATCTATAAGATGGTTTGTTATGAGATGTTTGTTCCTACTTTTCATATCAAATATTTCACAGCTAGCGGTACTAGAGCTTGGTGTTTCTGTTGAATCAGAATCACTATCGTGCCTGATGCCATTCAAATTCTACTAATTATTATACACGGTGACTTGAAAAGTGCAATTAGTGCAAAAAATTGTTACTTTGATAAAAAACACCCCATATGAGATACTGTTTTGAAAATTGCTATAGGAGTATTTGTGACTAGTCCGAATCGATTTGCCCGTATCAAAATCTTTGTAAAAAAACGCCTAATCCGTTTTCTTAAATTTTGCTCTGAAGTTTTTGTGATTGCAGTAGGCTAAGAAATTGTGATTGATAATTTTTGGTTTGCTCGAAAAAGTAGATAATTTTGAGTAGTATACTAATATGTGAGAAAACGATATTGTAACATGCTGTATATAATTGTTTTATTTTAATATTATTGTATGACACGCTCTATACCTTTCTTTAGGTCCTTGTTAGAGCAGCAAAAGATTTTTCTTTTTCTTCTTTCTTTCTTTCCTTTCTTTCCTTTCTTTCCTTTCTTTCCTTTCTTTCCTTTCTTTCTTTTCTTTCTTTCTTTCTTTTCTTTCCTTTCTTTCTTTTCTTTCTTTCTTTCTTTCCTTTCTTTCTTTCTTTCTTTCTTTCTTTTCTTTCTTTCTTTCTTTCTTTCTTTCTTTCTTTCTTTCTTTCTTTCTTTCTCTTTCTTTCTTTCTTTTCTTTCTTTCTTTCTTTCTTTCTTCTTTTCTTTCTTTCTTTCTTTCTTTCTTTCTTTCTTTCTTTCTTCTCTTTCTTTCTTTCTTTCTTTCTCTTTCCTTTCTTTCTTTCTTTCTTTCTTTTCTTTCTTTCTTTCTTTTCTTTCTTTCTGTCTTTCTTTCTTTCTTTCTTTCTTTCTTTCTTTCTTTCTTTCTTTCATTCTATCTTAAAGACGAAACGTTGGTTCAGAAAATCGTTGATGCCAAATTGTATGGCATCAAAAGATGCCATGAAGATGTAATTCCAGTATTGCCATTGTCATAACTTCATTATTAACACTAGAAAAAAATTGAAATCCAAAAATTCAGTTTTTTGGAAATAACTCAAAAACAAAAAGTCATATGAGAGATTTTTGAAAATCATTTTGTGGGTCCTTCACTCTCGCAACTTTTCTCCCATTTAACCAAATCTGTATCTCTCGCAGTTTCCGAGATGCTCATACTACCCCCCTTATCTTGAGCACAGTGTATAATGAGATCGGCCACGTTTATACTGTATGGGTAGTTATGGTATGCTTACCAAGGAGAACTAACTAAATTCAGACTAAATGCCTCAGTTAACGCATGTTTACACCATGTATATTCAGTTGACTAACGTTACCCAACTTTGTTTTGATTTGATCATTTTTTTTGGGTTAGGTTGTGAAACTCCACTTGAATTCGTAAATTAAATGAAATATCATTATGAGAACTCATGAAATAACTCTGCCACTTGCACTCAAGTCAAGTCAAGGCTATACACAAGTAGACCAAAATGTTTACACCGCCTTGGTCATCATACTATTTTAGTCTGGTACGCAACAAATTTCGGAAACAAACCAAGCTGGTAATTATACCAAGTATTCAGTTTATACCAAACTGGCCAAGAGTATTTAGTCAAAATATAGTCATTAGTCAGCTTACCTTTATACGGTATAAACGTGGCCCGTATACAAGTTTGTATTGGTTATGCATAAATCAATGGTACACAGTAAAAATGCAGATTTCTTGGGTGATCATATTTAATTCTCGATTATCGTGAGAAACTTCAAGGGGGCTAGGGGGGATTAATGGTCGATTTGATCAAATACATTATTAGCAAAAGTCCAAATATCCCTCAAACACATAATTATTGGATTTCTCATTGTTATCTTTTTATTTCAAAATTATATTAATCATAATGAAAAGGGTATTGCTTACACATTTAGGTGAAAATGATGGCACCTGAAGATCAAGATGACTGGTTCCATTTGCTCGTATGGCATCAGAACAGAGCCACAAGAGGCGTGAAAAATTTTATTCCAGACGATTCGCTACCTGACTTTTTAGATTTGGTCATTTGGGGCCATGAACACGATTGTAGAATCGAGCCGGAAAGGAAACATAATGACGTTTATGTTTCACAACCAGGTAAAAATTATCTTTTTCTACAAGCGTACGTGATTCACCCTATACCCGCACGCAATTTAGTTTGGGAAGTGTCATTTTCCCGCAGTAGTGCGGGAATAGCTATTTGTGTATTTAGAGCGCAAAGTGATAGATTGCCGCTCGGACAAAGAAAGTTACCGCGCGATGCGGAGCGGAGCGCGGTAATCTTCGGAGAGCGGCAATAACACTTTGTGCTCGAAATACACACAAGATTTTTTCTACTAACGCAGCTTTTGGAAATAACTACCCTGAAAGTATGAGCGATTGAAATAGTTGAGAAAGTTCTAATCCATATTATCCCATATGTCCAAAAGAAACAAAAAAAGAAAAATTGAAAGAACTGACAAGCCAGAAAAAAAAATGTCGGGCCTACCGAGAAATGGAAATCGGACCACCAGCGTGGCAACCTGAGCTTCAGACTCTGAGCATAGTACGATAAGCTCTGCAATCAAATTGAACATTACTCATTGATGCAATAAAATGAAGATACACTGTCTTTCTGATGACAACAAAGAGTTTAAATATAAAGTATACTTCAACGTTTTCAACAGATATGCCAGCCAGTAAAACGTTTTATGAATACATATTCACCATCTCGGAGTGGCACCAATTTATGAATGTATCATATTGTAATTCATATTTCTTCCTTGATTTCTCCGGTAAGAGATTCAAACTCTTGCGCTTTCTGCTATATCATCAGGAAGGAGGTGTGTTTGATGATTCACTGTCACTATTTTCCATCATGAAAGAATTGGGGGTTTTCAATAATAGATAAGTATAGGTTACAGAGATAAGCGAGCGTTTTTTTTCAATATTTCCGCTCACGAGCGCAAATGCTGTCAAAGAATGACATTTCTGGGAAAACGTCAACTTTGTGCTGGAATTTGAAAGCGTCAAAGGCTACTTTGTTAAGCGTTTGTAGAAAAAAACATTTATATAATATTCTCGCAAAATATGAATGGGTGGGTGACACAATATACCACGCACACATTATATGGGAAAATGTCTTTCGGTGAAAATGGCTGGATTTTTGATATGTTGTAGCTGTATTCATTCTAAGTAAAATACTCGATTGGCCCAACTCGATCGTATGACCAGATTCGATGCTAGAGGGTGAAACATGAACATGAATTTTGTGTATTTTTGAGTCTTCGAAGCTTAATGAAGAATATGAAAATCTCGTGATATGCATTCACCCTACCAAAATTCATCAAAGATAGATATGTTTCAAGGTTACAGAAAGGATGTAGTAGCCTTTTTACAGGGTGGTCAACAATAAACTGATTTTCAGAAAATCCGAATGCCATCGCCTATATGAGAAAGCTGATTTATTGAGTTCATCAATGGCGATCGATCAGAATAAACGTTGATCGAAGAAAAGAAAATGATAATCAATGATACAGAGTGATCTGAATAACAGAAATTGCCAATACATATAATGACGAATGCTCGTATTACTTCTCGGAAAGAATTCAGACAATGACATCAGAAGACATATTCAGGACTATGCCATGATTAAATCATCTAAATGAGTATATTGGCAACTTCTGTTATTTAGATCACTCTGCATTAATGATCAACATTTTCTTCTCTTCCATCAACGTTTATTCTGATCGATCGCCATTGATGAACTCAATAAATCAGCTTTCTCATATAGGCGATGGCATTCGGATTTTCTGAAAATCAGTTTATTGTTGACCACCCTGTAAAAAGTTTACTACATTATTTCTGTAACCTTGAAACATATCTATCTTTAATGAATTTTGGTGGGGTGAATGCATATCACGAGATTTTCATATTCTTCATTAAGCTTAGAAGACTCAAAAATACACAAAATTCATGATGTTTCACCTTCTAGCGTCGAATCTGGTCATACGATAGAATAGAGTTGGGCCAATGGAGTATTTTACTAAGGATGACTACAGCTACAACATATCAAAAATCCAGCCATTTTCACCGAAAGACATTTTCCCATATAATGTGTGCGTGGTCCTTGTATATTGAATATTGAAAAATGATAATTGATTGTTATATAAATCCCCCTATAGCCTTTAATTGATCTGATGTGGAAAACAATTGTTGTCATGTCAATCAAAACACAAATAAATTAGTGTAATTCTCAGAGTGACTGACAGAGCGTTACTGTCATTTTCGATTCAGTGGAATTGCGATGAAAAACTTCCAGCTACAGATGAGTAATTGCCAACGAAGTCTTGAGAAACGTATGAGAAGCACTACACGGGATTTATTGAATGGTGCAATAGAAAAAAGGGAAAACAACAAATAAAGAAGTATTTTTGGCTCATTTCCTAGAAATGTCTGAAACCTAGAGGCCAAACACCATGGGCATGCTGGCTTCTGCCATAAGCTTACTTACATAATGCTTCGAACGGTACACACAATAGATATATCACTAATTATTAGAAGATAGAGAATATATCACTATTGTTTGTTGTTCCAATTTGCAGGAATAATTGATTGAACAAATCAATCAATTTCATACGCTTGTAGAGAAAATATTGTTCCTAACTCATGCGGAAAGTGTCTTTCTCGCACTCGACTGCTTGCCCGAACTCCGCTTCGCGTCGTTTGGGTCAACGGCAAACTTGAAACGGGAAATGTTCTTGGATTTTATGTCAAAAGGAGGACGTTCTGAGCTCGGTTTTGAGTTGCTTTCCTAACTTTTGTACAATATATTGTAATTCAAAAACATGGCTGTCATCAGGAACATATCGATTGACATTCCGTGGGAAAAGTTATAGATTGTAGGTATATTAGTATATTACGTAATATGTTATGTGTTGTAAGAAGCATAAAACGCACGAATGGAAAATTTAGTATTTGCTTTACAATACGCATTACGTACTATACTTCACCTACTGCCATATAGTACATCAAATAAGTTTGGACAAACAGTCTGAATTATAATTCTTGACAGTTAATGTCATCCGCTGTTGACGGCGTGATATACCGATACTGTGCGATGGTAATAGATATTAACGATACGAGTATCATAAAGACAAGATATATCTATTGAAATAGACGACACCCGACACCCCTCTATCTATTGTGGAATCCACGAAAAACCTGGGTATTATCTTTGACTCCGATCTAAAATTCACTTTACATATTAATAGTCTGCTCAAAAAATCATTCAGCTCATTGAAAATGATCTATCCACATAGGCACTACCTCAATCAACCCATACGGAAATTGCTGAGTGAATCACTTGTCCTGTCTAGGTTCAATTACGGTGATATTGTTTACGGTGATTTACTCACTAAATTTGATCAGAATCGTATTCAGAAAGTACAGAACTTTTGTTGTCGATTCATCTTCTCCCTCAAAAAATACGATCATGTTTCCAATAAAATGAGGGAACTGAAGTGGCTCACAATGGCTAATCGTTCTAAATACAATTTTTGTGTCTTTCTATATAAAATAATAAAGAACAGGATTCCTGTATCTCTCTTTTGTAAATTAACTCCAAGGGCATCTTTTCATTTATTAGAAGTGAGAAATAAACATCACTTTAATGTTCCTCGTCACTATTCAGTCATGTTTCAGAAATACTTCACCTATCAGGCTGTAAAATTTTACAATTCACTCCTCATCAATCACCTTCATTTATCTGAATTTAATATCAAGAAATTGCTGAAAGCAAAATTTTGTGAATCCCCAATATAAATTAAGACTTGAAACTCTATTACCTAGTTATACTTTGACAAATTACTTTTGTTTATTTGACTTACGATGATTATGTTCTTTATTACCTCATGAATGTCTTTATTAGCTGAATTTTCTGTCGATTGTACAATTTAGGTTAAGTGTAAGAGTAGCAATAGCTAAACTTCGCCTACTTTGTACCAAAGAAAAATAAAGACGATTTATTATTATTATTATTATTATTATTATATTACGATATGAGATGGGAAATTTGTCAAACGTGGCCGAAGGCCGAGTTGGATAACCCATCGATTATCGTAATATGAGTTTACGATATGAATATAGTACAATATTTTACCTACTTCCAGAAAGCTAATTATTTAATCAAAAATATTCAATATTCCTTGAACTGACCATTTGGGCATATAGTTCGTGAATCTATTGTGTCACTCGTTCGGCGAACTTTTTTTTTATGTTCTGGTTCCCACGAAAAGGGATATCCTGTAATGTTCAGAGAACATCGTGAGAATCAAGAGAAATAAGGTAGGAATTGGTGTTCTTCTTAAATTTCTGGAGGTTATATGCCTCGGGGAACACCTCCCTTGGCAATGTGTTCCAGAGCCTCGCTGTTCGTTGGATGAACGAGTCTTTGGAAAGAGATGTTCTGCAGGTCTCCAAAGTGACCACGAAAGGGTGCGAGGCCTCAACTCGACGGGTTAATCTCGCGGAGACTGCCAAGGGAGGAACAATTGTTGATATTTCAGAATATCATCGTCCATGAAAATATCTATAAAATAGAGCCAGATCGCCAAACTTTTCTACGGTGTTTCAATTCGAAAAGAAATTCATCGGCATGAATTCGGATCAGGAAAGTTTAGATTCCGATATAGAAATTGCGGCGAATGCAGCAATCGAAACTTTAGTACCTGCTATATTCATGATATATTATTGGTTCTCATTTCTTTTTTTTTTTAGTAAAAATAAAATTTGAAATTATATTTTTTTCACTTTACCGCATCTAACCCAACCTAACCTGTATGCAATATTCGCCAAAATGGCCCATATTTCTAGGTAGTTCTGTGGCTACTTCTCTGGCAGCCGGAGAAGCCATACCCAAGAAAGTGGGTATTTTGAAAGTGCACCACAAACAATTCCAAATGATACCTGTCGATCTGAAAACCGTCAGACCGTTTATATTCGAGGAATTGGTTCTCAAGAATTTGGACGATATGATGAATGACGACAATAGCGGTCTCACACCCAATGAGTTGACTCTAGAAGTTGTTACTAAAAAAGTCGAAAGCATGATGGAAGAAGCAAAACAATTAGGTATGTAAAAAACTTCCCGTACCGACCATACAGGATTTGCTTCGTTTATATAGGGTGTATCTAAATAACACCGAAAAAATTCAAGGGCTGTCTCCTTGTGACATTCTAGCAAATAAAGTTCATATAAACATGTGTCCTAACATGCTCCGTTTTTGAGATATAGGTCGCGTGCACGATGACCGACCCTGGAGGCAAAATATTGAAACACAACCTCATTCTTCTGTGAATTATTGAAACACAACCTCACTTTTTTATTTGGTTACAGAGGAATCAAAGGATTGAAATAGTTTTTCACAATATTTTGGCATACGAATCGTGTTTCTTGCGTTATTCATTAATTCAAGCATGCCTTTGCATTGTGCTGTTGTACAATGAACAAAAAATGCAGCAAGAGACTAGGGAATATGATTTTTCAGGTAAATAGTAATCTCACATAGTTATCATTATGAAATGTTGTCATTCCTTATTAAAATTCCTTCTGTCTTCTGCTACTTCTGCAATACAAGCTAATACTGCTAATAGATTGAAAATGTCTACAACACACACGATCGTCAGCATGTCAGATCAGTTCTCCCGATTGATTGCATGAATCGAATTTTCTTGCATTATTCTAGAAATTTCAGGTATATTTCTATTAGCTCCTATTGCAGAAGGAATTCCGATGAGAAATCAGAGAAATAACCAAATTTCAAAAATGAAAACTATAGTAGGTACTTACTTTTAAATCATAATGTACCATCCGGATTCCTTCATCTTCCGCTTCAGTTTTTGTGCATTTTACAACAGCACAATGTGTTCTGGCATGAGCGAATTGATGAATAGTGGAAAAATACGATTCATATGCCAAAATAATTGTGGAAAACTATTTCGATCACTTGTAAACAAATAAGAAAAGTAACGTTGTGTTTCAATGTTTTGCCTCCAGCGTTGATCATCTGACAGTTCTTGCACGCAACCCATAGGATGTTGCAGTTGGAAGTATTAATAGTTTTTATTCATAACCCCCAGAGCTGGGCATTACTTGAAGTAAAAGTACTTGACAAGTATCCAAAGTACATTTTTGTACTTCAAGTACTGTACTTGAAGTACTTCACAAATTTGGCACTTGATACTTGATACTTGCTGGCCATCGGAAATTACTTGGTACTTGACTAAAAAAAAGTGTACTTCAAGTACATGAAAAAATACTTCAAGTATTGTGGAACTACTTCAATTACTTTGACAGTACTTCAAGTACTTAGACAGTACTTCAAGTACTCAGATATTACTTCAAGTAGTCTTATCACTCTTATCTTGGGCAAGTAATGTAACGTAACGGCAACACATCATACCTGTCGAAACCTGCAGTTAAATACGGCGAAGCGCATTACTACTTTTTGTTGTCTCGCCTAATTATTTATGTTTCATATGTTGCGGAGTGATGACGTTGATATAGAAGTGGTATTCAGAATTCTATAAAGGTAAGAACTTTGAATTTATTTCTCAGATCCGAATCAAATATCGTGGATTTATCATCTGCATGCTTCGGGTTCGTTTTATAGCAATTAGCAATTTTGATATAAGTTTCATTCGAAAAGACTTCGTTAATGACTATTAGCCATATATAGTATACAGTACGGTCCATTTTTTCATACGACGCTCGGAAAAGTATGCGCATCGGGTGGCTTGTCAGAAAATCCATTTTCTGTTACCCAGAGGCTGGTTAACCTATTTTCTGACATGCCACAAAATACTTGGGAATTTGATAACACCCGGTATAGCGATAGCGTCTTGAAGTTGTAGAGGGGGACCAATTCTCCTCGAAAAAAGAAAAATATACCATGCCACTTGTGGTCAGGTGTCCATTTTTGTCTCCGTCTCTCTAACTAATACTTCGATCAGTTTCAGACCATTGTGTGCTTTCATTTATTAATTTCTTGATGAAAATTATTTGATACTTCCATCTCAAATATATACTTGAAGTAATTAAAAATACTTGAAGTAATCGTAAATACTTGAAGTAATAAAAAAAAACTTGAAGTAATTGATCGAGCACAGAAGTAGTACTTACACCCAAAATTCCAAGTACTATTGAAAAGTACTTGAAACTTGAATACTTTTTTATTGGAAAATTACTTGGTACTTGATAGAAATTTTTCCTACCTCGATACTTGGTACTTAGTACTTCAAGTACAATTATCGAGTACTTTGCCCAGCTCTGATAACCCCCCTGTATAAGCTATCATAGTGCCAAAATTCAGTATGGATGGAAACTGAGAAAGCCCCAAAATTTCAGAATAATTCTAATTGGAGTTATTGAGTAATATCAATGGAAGTCTTAAAAACACCTACATTAAAATTTGGAGTCAAATCGAATTTTTATTGTTTCCTCAAAAACTAAGCTAGATACAAAAATCACACAGAGGATAAAAATGTTGTTTTTTCTGTGACGGGAAAAAAGTTTGGCATTTCATCTCTGTTGGCAGGTTATAAAATGTATAAAATGTCACTTTTCATAAATTACTTTTTTCCCGTGGGAAAAAAGTGAGTACTTTTTTCCCGGATATATATCACATATATATACTCTGTTAATGGCTTTTGTTGTGCTATAGTTCCGAAAAATGAGTCAATAATACCGTCTCCGAGAAAGAACTGCAAGTCCTTTTATCTTCCATTCGACTTCGCGGTTTCGTATATTACTAAACAACTACTGAATTCGCAATTTTTCAAAATCAAATCGAAGAATTGAACTGACAGAAGTGACATCAGATATTTGATTACTTCAAAATAATGATAAAGATGTCTATAAAACGCAGGTGTCCCTACTGTTAAAAACTTGAAATTTCACGTCGATAATTTTCAGATTTCGAAATAATGTAATATCTTCTCAATATTGATTCGTCCTTCCTTCTGTCACAGAAAAAAATAGTGTATTATACACGGGAAAAATATTAGATTTTAGCTCACGGTTTTTTGTCTCCCTCCGCTACGCGTCGGGAGACAACACAACCTGGAGCTAAAATCTACTACTTTTTTCCCTTGTATAATAAATAACTATATTTCAATAGTTCAATCTAATAACAATATGAAACTCAGAAAAACCGGTGGTGTACAATATAACATTCACCATAAATATCGATAAATTTACCCATTGTGACGCCACTGGAAATATTATTTCGAATCTGATTGCACTAGAAGAAGCTCCATATTACTATTAACAAAACCACGACTTTTTATTGAAATTGATGAAGAGACAATTGAGAAATGAATAGAAAACAGATTTTTCTTGGAAATATTAATACCCTGTATCTAGAAAACGAAGCAGGGTCGTGTTACTTTTTTAGCCATAATTGATTCACCTTGTATCTTTCCAATCGTATGATCAATTTTCATGAAATGCACTCAATCTACTTATTCCAGGCCCGGACTTAGAGAATGTTAATCTAAGATCTCTTAAGAAAAAGGACACCGTTTACATTGGAATTTTCAATCTCTGCTTATTATTCCTGAAACTACATGTATTAATGAAAAGAAGAAGTTAATTGAAATTTTTAGGTCTCTATATTGATGAAATATTATTGTGGACCAAACACATAGATCATTTGAGAAATAAAATAAATCCAATCATAGACATTTTCACTACGAAATAGCCACAATGCTCAAAGTAGAATGAAATGTTGAATAAATACAAAAATCTCAGTGATTTCCACTGGAAAAATGAAGGTAATTGATTAGTCTTCAAGCTCAAAAAAATTTCAGAACCGTAATATGACCCCTAAAAAAGTTCTGAAGAAAAATGTCAGGGGGTGAGGGTGGTTTTAACCCCTCTGCAATTACTTTAGTTTCTTCGATTACCAAAAGGAAAGTAATCCTCTGAAATACACTATTGCCAAATTTTATCAAATTCGTTCCACTTATTTCTGAACAGCGTTCGAAACTGTGTTTTTTCTCTGACGGGAAAAAAGTTTGGCATTTCATCTCTGTTGGCAGGTTATAAAATGCCACTTTCTTGCTATACACTGTATGTCATTTCCGATGGAAAAAAATTGTTATCCCTTTTTTTATACTTAAGAAAGGTATACCTTGTCCAAGTCGCTAGAAGCAATGGTTCCAGTACAAATGCATCTAAAAGCCGACAATGCACGCTAATTATTCAAAAAGCGCCAAAGTTACTTTTGCAAAAACAATGATAAATACTTCAACAATTACATTTTGATGGTATGATGGAAAATATGATTAATTATAACAAAACATTAAGTTTTTAGAAGATGTTCAAATTGTTGCCCTTGTACTTCAATACATTTTTCCATTAAAATTCAATACCCCGTATCTTTTAACCAAAGGCCTTGCGGACTCATGTTCATAAGAACTTTTTTTCCTTATTTTAGTGTCCTCTATTGTGTGGCACTATGCAATGTACTTTTTTTTATGTCACCCTGTATATCACATATATATACACTGTTGATGGCTTTTGTTGTGCTATAGTTCCGAAAAATGAGTCAATAATATCGTCTCCGAGAAAGAACTGCAAGTCCTTTTATCTTCCATTCGACTTCGCGGTTACGTATATCACTAAACATACACTAAATTCGCAATTCTTTGAAATCAAATCACAGAATTAGACTGACAGAAGTGACATCAGATATTTGACTTCAAAAGAATGATAAAGATGCCTACAACGCAGGTGTCCCTACTGTTAAAAACTTGAAATTTCACGTCGATAATTCTCATATTTCAAAATAGTGTATTATACACGGGAAAAATATTAGATTTTAGCTCACGGTTTTTTGTCTCCCTCCGCTACGCATCGGGAGATAACACAACCTGGAGCTAAAATCTACTACTTTTTTCCCCTTGTATAATAAATAACTATTTGTATGTGAACTTTGAACCCTTCTCACGGACAAACGGTACATTTTGGCACTTGAATAAATTGGGTCCAATCAGCTTATTTTGACCTCTACACGTGGTAGCTCTGTGTCTCAGCAATTTTGGGACACCCTGTATTTCTCCGTTTCTCTATAGGCAGGGTGGGAAAGGCCAGCGAGAAGCCTTTGATCAGATTGAACGTGAAATGCAGAGACGAAAGGCAAGTTTTCAACGCCATCAGGTTCGGTCAGCAATATAACGGGCGGGTGGCGAATCCCGACGATATGGTCAAATGTCAGCCCATCAAGGAGCCTGTCAGAAGAGGAAAAGGCGATGGAAAGGATAAAATTACTTTCAATGTAAGTTGTAGGGACTGTTGGCCATTAAAAAAACATAACAATCACATTTTTTCGTGGGAATATTGGATCTCCTGAAATTCACAACAGTGACGGCTCGTCAGGGACGGCAGGGTCGGCCGGGCCGTACCAAATAATTTGGGGAAAATTACTGAACTATTTGATGAATAAAATTATTTTCCGAAAGTGTTTTCATAATTCATCGTTCATTATCCTACTGTTATGCCACTATTATTTCAATTTCATTCACTGGAACCTTTGAGTATGCCATCCGCATATTCACCGAAAATCACGAACTAATTCAGGACCTACGACATCTGGTAATTCCATCGTCAAAACGACGCTTTAAGTTGAAACGCTCGCGTAGCTTATTACACTGATGCAGACGGCCGGTCGATTGGTGCTTTCTTGTCTCGACGCATTTCCTACAGATTCCCCGCTTCAAGTTTAAATTCTCGCTTATACGCGTCATACCTTGGGTACGGCCAAGCTCTGCTGGCCGTCCGTACGTACGTTATCAGTAGTTTGCAGTGCGCTCGCTGTGCACCGTATCCGCGACCATTCCGACCTAATTTTTAATATACGGATTGGCATGATTGACATTCTATTTTCATTTTACATTGTAGGTATTTATAATTTTTATTCCTATACTTATTTGTAAGTTGATGTTGAAATTTGAAATGTACAAACTGAAAAAAAAAAAAAAATCGATGTTCTTGTTCACGCTTGCAGTAGTTGCAGTAAAAAGACTGGTGATTTTTGAATTTGCAATTTTTCAGTAATTCATAATTCAACATATCCATCTAATATTGGTATCAGAATTTTCCTTCAGTACTTCTGAGCGTCAATAAGTTATAATTCAATTTGAATATTGTAATGTAACCTACTGTGCCTCTGCCTATGTAGGTGATATGGCAAGAAAAATGTCAGCAGTCCAAGAGCTGAGTAGGTATTGAAAAATCGTAAAAAAGCTCTGGTGACGAAAATGTAATAAATGTATAACTTCCAGAATATCATTTATTTTCAAAGACGCATGTAGCGGTTGGTTATAAATAATATTTATGCATCCATCGCGGGAAACATACCTACGGCTGCACGGCGGGCTCGGTCGGCCAGCCGACTACGAAGGAGTGGGGTGGCTTGTTACAGGAACGGCGTAGACATATTACATATTAGTCATTGTTGTGCTTTTCGCGTGAGTGGTTGTCGGTTATGTTGATTTTTTTGAGTTTACGTTACGTTTTCAACAGAATATAAATATTTTTTGTTCACGAGTTATTTTATTTTTATTTTCTTTCATTTTATTTTTTCGACTTTCTTGTTATTATTTTTTCATACCAACTAACCCTTATCCACCTCCTTTTCCTTTCCCCATTTCCCCTGGCGAGAATGCTCTAACCTCGTGGTTCTTGCTGGACAATTTAATTTTTTGGTTATGTGTACATGCTTATTTGCCATCGAACTTCCCAACGTGTTACGTTCGCATTTCTCTCTTTCATTTTAATCCAAAAAATTAAGTTGACGAACTAGAGCAATATCTATACCCTGGCCGACCCAGGTTCTGAGGGCACGAGCCGTCACTGATTCACAAACACTTCAAGTTTTAATTTGACCATATACGCTCCAAGCAATAGCGCCGCTATCAATAATCCGATTTTGAAAAACAAAAAACAAATGAAATTAATCTTCGGCTCTGATCAATTTTTCAAATTTCAACTGTAAACGTCAGCGGCTATCAACTTTTTTTATTCAAGTGGCATTATGTTTTTTTATTTATTCATTATCATAAGCAATATCATGATGTTCTGGATATTCCACATTATTCTGTCGCTTCATTTTTCACGAAATTGTGTTGCAGAGCAACACCACGACTCCGTCAGGACGAGTGGTATTGCTGTACGGCAACACAATGGGCGAGTGAACTCATAATGAATTATTGGCATTTAAGTACTACACTGAGTCGTTAAGGACCTAAATTAATATTTGCAACACTTCTCACACTTTTTTTTGTGTAAATAATGAGTATATGCGTTGTTCGAAATTGTTGAATTTCGGAGCTCATTCCAAACGTACCGTCATGGCAACTATTTGGCGATACGTCGAATAAATGTTGACGTCAGCTTCTATGCTGTTTCGTTATTGGTCAGATAATCTTCCATTCCCACTCACGAAGCAAGGTTGTCAAGTCACCAATTATAATCAAGTTAGCAGAAATATGTAAGAGTCCTTTCGTTGAATAAAACATAATAGGAGGAACCCATGATATTATAGTTCATTCTTGACTCTTTCGAGCAACCAACATGTTCAAATATCTCTAGTACTCCATAACAAAAGTTCATGTAAATGTTGGAGACTTGGCAACATTTTGCTGAATGCAGAGAAGGGACAAGACCACGCCCACAAGTCGTGCGCGCGGTGTTGTCACGTTCACCGCTTCAAATGTCCTCCAGTGTGAATTAATATAATTACTATTTACACAAATGTTTTATAAGCAATAAGCCACAAATCGTGAGGGAACATTTTGAGACAATTAATTTTGTATTGCCAAATAGGAATATTGCCAATACATAATTGAGAATTCATTAATGTTTGAATAACTTATATTTCTGAAGTTCCCAATCGTATTTCAACACATGGCAACTGTGCTATGGTCTGCCCCTACTTACGAAATCGTGACATCAGTTTTTACTGGCGGTAAATTTCTACCCCTTTGTAAATTACCGTGGCATTATTGATAATTTTAGCACCTAAAAATCGACCGAAAAATTCTAAAAGAATATGAAATCGAAAAGTATTTGAGTGATGATTCTATTTGAGAAATAAAAAAAAATAGTCCACTCGCCTATTGAGTTCTGAAAGACAGAATTATGAGAATTAATTCAGAACAGAGTGGTATTTTGCTAGACTATTTCACGTCCACGAAGCATAAAAAGCATTTATTATAAATGAGCGATTCATTCTGACAAGTACAGCCATAATTATTTTATGCCGAACTGATAGACCTTGCTTTGCTATCTATGGTTACATCCAGATTTTGCTTCGCTATCCATGGTTACATCGTTGAAAACATCAACGCTGATAGACTAATCAGAATTGAAAGACACCTAATGTTTTCGCGATAAGCACACATTTTCTCTGGCTTGTGATTCGTCAGATTATGTGATGAGTGAAATAGTCTTCTGAAGACAGTTATGCATGACAAGTTGACCCTTGTAATAAAAAATGAATGCTCAGCTGACAATATATAGATATTTTCATACAATTTTTAGATATCCTTGATCCTGTAATTCTGATTATCCAATATATTGGATTTTTTAACACATTGGATATTTCTCCATTTGAAATTTTTCCAAAATACAGGGTGATTCAAAATTCGATGTAAATATTCCACGGACGTATTGCTGGGATCAAAATAAGACTCTTTCTTTATATAAACATGTGTCCTAACATGCACGTCCGAGCTACAGCTACTGTAAGTTTTGTAAAAAAGAGAATATCTAAATTTGTGACTAAAATAACGGATCAAATCTTCTGCAAATTGGAATGCCCCCGTTTTTTAGACTCTTTATTACCTCCTTGCTTCAAAAATTATGTTATCCCAGTTTTGGGGTAGTTGAAGGGGGGTCCACTTTTATTGGGGTGCATTTCAGGATAAAAAAAAGTCTTATTCTGATCCCAAAAATATGTCCTTGAAATATTTACTTTGAATTTTGAATGACTGTATATTGGGATTTTTTTAATAGCTTGGATATTTTTAAATACATTTTAGGAAAAACCTAGTATATCATTCCATGTCTGCATGAAAATAACAGGGTGTTCCTGAATTCAAGTGACAAATGCGTAGGGATTCCTTACATAAAAATTTAAAAAGGAGTTATGTTCGTGTTTCAGGCAATCCAATAAAAAACATAACTTTTAGGTACCTTGTTTTTTTCTCTTACCCTCAAAAAAAAAAAAAGTTGTTCTCTGTTCCCAACACGGTTTTCTATAAAACAAGAAATAAGATACGGAAAACCCTGGAAGCTTAAAAGTTATGTTTCCAATTGCTTGTTGAAAACAACAATGAGAAGTTTGCAAAAATCTACTGCCTGTTAATATAGGTCCGGAATTGCACCAATCTAAAAATTAATGATTTTTTTTAATATCACCCTTTGAATAACACCCTGCATCTGGCTTATCTAAAGAAAATCTTGTCATGAAACTAAACCAACTAAACTATTCCTAAAGACCCTGAATTGTGTTCAATATAACGAATTTTTAGGATGGTCCTGTGTTAGCTGACAGGGTGGAAGACATAATATCCAAATATTTCGCTGAAAATGACACTTTGAAAGGCTTGTCCATAGGTCCTCTAAACGAAGGTGTGAAAAGGTTTATTGATTCAAATAACGCTGATGCTGTATCTGATGTTGCTGAGTAAGTATTTTAGGAGCCAAACAATTTTGATTTTGGAATTATTACATGAAGAATAATACCTTATTTCCAAGGACTATTTACGAGCCGATCCTCGTTAATTAAAATAATATTCCAAGGAAATAATAGACATTATCGCAAGTAGTATACTCTGCTTTTTCTTCAACTGTTATATTACTTTAGTATTATCGCTGAATAAAGACAAACTGAGCAGATAAAATATCTTGGTATTTGGTTCGATGACAGGTTGAAGTGGGACAAACATATTGATGTTTTGACAAAGAAAATATCTCCAATGATTGGTGCATTGAGATGATGTCCCAAACTTGACATTAAATTTGCAAACATGATTCTTTACTCTGCTGAGTCGTACCAACTAAACTGCTCCACATTTGAAGTGAGACAAGCGAACATTTTGTTTGTTTTCAAACCGTGATAACTTTGGATGAGATCAACCGATCTTTGATTAGTTTTGAGATTGTGATTGCCCAGTTGATTGGCTATAACATATTTTTTTTACGTTTCTCCACCATTTCGGAATTATGACCTACAGGATGATATCTGAAAGTGTGATACTTTCCGAAAAGTTTGAGGTCGCCCCGTTAGCAGGATAATTTTTTTAAAATTTTTCTGACGGCAAAAACATGAAGCCTAATGTGTTTCCTCGAAATGGTTTCGGATTCATCAAGATCCATACAGGATGTTTTGAGATATGCAATTTTGAACAACATAATGGCTATTCGAATTTTTTGAATACCTTAAATTCATTGGTTAACCCCTCGGTATAATATGTTGTCTGGGAAATAATCAGAAATTGTCAAACATTTGATTATTGTAATAAAATATGCCACGACTAACTAATGAACAATTACAAATGGTTCTCAGAATGAGAGATGGTGGTTTGAATGTTGAAGACATTGGACAGTATTTTGATACATCAAGAGCTTCCATATACAGGGCAATCCGTCGTCACGATCGAACAGGAGATCCTAATTATCGTCACGGAGGTGGACGACAACGGAAGACTTCAGATAGAAATGATAATTTCTTAGCTACTTCGGTACGTCGTCTTCGAACACAGACTGCTGGACAACTGAACTGTGCACTAAGAAATGCAACAGGAGTTGTTGTCTCAGATGAGACAATCAGAAGAAGGCTTCATGAGCGCAATCTGAGAGCGAGAAGGAGGGCATCTTGTACTTTGTTAAAGCTGAACCACAGGATAGCTCGAAGACTTTGGGCTCAGAACCATTTGAACTGGGGAATAGCTGATTGGAGGAGATGTTTATTCGTTGATGAGAGTAGGTGTAATATGTTCAGATCAGATGGAAGGATTTTAGTATGGCGAGAACGGGGTGAGAGGTTTCTGGAGGAAAACATGGAGGCGCGGGTGGCATTTGGGGGTGGGGGTGTTACGATATGGGGCGGTATCATGATGAATCATCGCACCACGTTGGTTATTTTGAGGAAAAGTATGAATGCTGTTTGATATCGTGACATGTGTATAAGAGATGTTGTTATACCAGTTGCTCAAAACTTTGGAGACAATTTCGTACTGGTCGATGATAATGCACGACCACATCGTGCGAGAATTGTAACCGAAGTTCTGAGATAACATAATATTGGAAGAATGGAATGGCCACCCGTATCTCCAGACATGAACCCAATAGAACATGTATGGGCTAGGTTAAAATTATGTTTGAAGAGAAGAGAAGGTGAAATGATGAATATTCAACAACTGGAAGATGCGATAGTGGAAGAATGGACAGCTATTCCCCAAGATTCCATTGATGGCTTGATAACAAGTATGCCGAGAAGAGTTAGGGCTCTCGCAGCGGCCAGGGGTGGTGTAACAAAATATTGATAATCGACCACATCTGCCGTTGTTAATTTTTCTTTATTAAAAAAATATTGTTACGTATTATCTGTATTCTCTTCGTGGTATATGTTCATCAATTCTCATTCTCTATATCCACTGAAAAAAAACATCCTAGCTTTGACAATATTATTCATAAAATAACCACACTCCACATTCACTTTATTCCTCCCTGCGAACTAACCCTGAAGGTTTTTCGTTCAATCACGAAATCACTTTTGCTAATCCATGATATTGCATATCTCAAAACATCCTGTATGGATCTTGATGAATCCGAAACCATTTCGAGGAAACACATTAGGGTTCATGTTTTTGCCGTCAGAAAAATTTTAAAAAAATTATCCTGCTAACGGGGCGACCTCAAACTTTTCGGAAATTATCACACTTTCAGATATCATCCTGTAGGTCATAATTCTGAAATGGTGGAGAAACGTAAAAAAAATATGTTATAGCCAATCAACTGGGCAATCACAATCTCAAAACTAATCAAAGATCGGTTGATCTCATCCAAAGTTATCACGGTTCGAAAACAAACAAAATGTTCGCTTGTCTCACTTCAAATGTGGAGCAGTTTATTTAATTTGGGGATCTTGTTCAAAAAAAAAAATCAATAAAATATCTCTCATTGATACACGAAATAACAAATACGTTTTCTTTGAATGAAATATATAGAATTGAAACTCTTAAAATTTCATTAATATCATGAATAAAAAATTGGAGTCGAATAGTATTTTGATACGAAATTCTGAAATTCATAATCATGAAACTAGACAATATAACTTGTTTCATCTTGACGCCGCTAGCTTCATAGTCAGACAAAAAAGATTCACTCATTCTGACTTAACTGCATTCAAAAAACTACCTGGTAATATCAAAAACTGCAGAAATATAGGCACATTCAAAAATGAAGTAAAAAAACTGATTATTTCTGAGCAAACTGAATAAAATTGATCATGTTATTATACAATGTTTTTTCTACAAATATTATTCTTTGTCTGCCAATTTATAGTTGTCGATATATTTTGAATGATGAAATGTTCACCTATAGGTATATAATTATGTACTTCCTTATACCAGAGCCTATTCTGTCTGGAAGTTATTTGTTCAATAAATCAAATAATTTAAAGTAAATAAATAATATACTTGTGTTTTTAGTAGTATAATGCCATGATATTGATCCCACATGCAATGTAGCACTATAATGATTAATAATAGTAATAATTTTTCCCTCTTATCCTCCATTATTCTCGCAAGGAATGATGTATAGCATCATAATACAAAAAAATTATACCTATTGTGAAGGTTTGCAATGAAACACACTCCTTCAGTCCGTGATTTATTGATCTTTGAAAATCAGATTCCAATCTGATATATGATGACATTTGCTTCAACATTTCTTTGACACATTGTGATGAAAGGAGATCCTACATTCTTTACATTCTCTAGATTACTTATTATACTTATATGAACGTAGAATAACTTACCTGATACCAGGGCTATCAGTAATATTAAGGATATGATAATATTTCTTGATACTATCCCAGAAAGGCTATCAAATTGGAAATTGGTCTCAACTCAATAAATGAACGATTGAATAATAAACATGTCTCTTAGAAACATCATATACTGAGTATTCTGCTACACTATTATTATTATTATCATAGATTAAATCTCGGTTATTATTATCATTATGATATGTAATAAAACATTATTATTATTCTTCAACATTATTTCAGGTTCATGATAAAGGAAACCATAGAATATCTGGCAACGAGATTACCAGAAATAGAGGAAGCTGAAAACATGATTCTAGCGTGTAAAACTGTCAGAGATGAGCAAGAAAATCTAAATACTGTAAGTAGTAAGTAGCTCTAGAAACAAATTTCACTCCAAACTGTTATTCAAATTCCGGAATCGTCATCAAAACTATGATTTTTTTTTCCTCATAAAATATGTTGCTTTGTTTTTTTGTATACTCCATATAATGTTCGTGAATACGGTGGTTAAAAGATTTACTTGTCTGACCAATACTCCCTTAGGACAAGATTCACAGTTCAGTTTTCAAACTGATTTTTCCAACTTACAAGTTGTGTCTTGAATATTTTTGATAAACCTCCCCAATGTGATATTTGTTCTATAGAAAACTCTGAAGTCTTGTTTATGTAGAAATTAAACCATTTTTCTTGTTGATAGTCCAAAATAGGTAAAAGTTATATAATTCTGATTACTGTCCCTGATGGTAGCATAAACTGCTTGTATTATTATTTACGGAGTTTTTCAGAAAGAATATTGTCTATCAAATTAATGTTTTATCCTATTTTGACGGCAATCAGTTTCATGATATTGAATCGGAGTACCACAAGGATCAGTTCTGGGACTCATTCTATTTTTATTTTATATAATTCAATATCAACTCTGAAATTGAAAGGAAAGCTCAAATTATTTGCAGATGATACAACATTGATTTATGTATCGAAAGAAATGAAAGAATTAAATGATATATCGAACGGGATATTGAAAGTGATTTGGAAAACACATTATGTTGGATGCAAATTCATAAGTTGACTCTCAATTTTGAAAAAATTCATGTATGGATATCTCCAAGAGCTTATGTAATATTTCGAATAATGCAATAACCTTCTATTATAAATCAATTGAAATTTGTAGGACTCTATATTGATGAAAAATTATTGTGGACCAAACACAGGCATTTTATTCAAAATCCATAATATCATTCCTATAAAATTCCTGAAGTGTATTAACTTTTGCCTCATATATTCAAATTTACAATATTTAATTCTTATTTGGGGGAGCACAAACATTTCACGCCTAAAACCACTAAGAAAATTACAAAACAAATCAATTAAGTGCATTTTTCGTCAAAATGTTCTAGAACCAACAGTCAATAATTTATACAAACCTAGACAATTTCTAAATCTGATTTCATTATATAAACTCAAAATATATTGTATTATTCATTTTGTCAGGAATAAATTTAAAATATCAAACTCAGCTTTTCATGAAGTCAATACAGTCCATAGTTATGGGACTAGACAGAATTACTTGATAGGGAATACATTCAAGTCGAACATTGGCAAACAATCTGTATTCCATAATGGAATAATTTTATACAATTCACTTGAATATGTAAAAATATACAGGGTGTTCCATTTGAAAAAAACAAAGTTGCTGGAATTTCCAGAAAAACCGGAACTCCGCCATATTGGATTGTAATGTGATCAAATCCGAAATAGTTGCTTATATAACTGTACCGAATTTCAGAAAAATCCGTTGACGAATGCAGAAGTTACAGGGGTGGCCCGACCCCGTGTCACCCGGTATATTAATGTTGGGTATCATTTTTGCAGTTTTTCACGAACACTTAATATTTCCTGAATGTAGGTACAAATCTTTGAATGGTAGGGCATATCCTCTACTTTCAATCCTCCTACTAAAATGCATTAAAAAACTGGAATGGATGATTTCGTATAGTTTTACCTCGAATATTTTACTGATGTATTTACCAGTTTTCCCCATTCGGTCACTTCACTTTCCATGTTCTAAATTCATTTGCATTTGATGGAAAGCTGACAAATTCAAATTTGACATCCAACCGATTGATATAGCCTAACGCAGCACATTTTACCATCCTTCCAAAACAGAATTGAATAATGTCGTATTAAGATAAAGTATGAAATTTTTTGTAAGACCTCTTTTAACGCCTTTGAATGTGACGTGTCAACAATGTCATGTCAGGGACGCCAATACACGAAACCAAAATCCCTAGATGATTAAAAGAGAAAGGAGCTATGATCCGCCCGTACCCTGTTAGATGACAAATACGTCAGTTTGCATCAAGGGACCCTACTTATGACTACTTCATTCATCACATAATCTGACCAATCACAAGCTATTGTGTACTTATCGCGAAAACAATAGCTGTCTTTCAATTCTGATTGGGCTCAAGTTTCGTTTAGCTGAAATCAGTTATCAAAAAACTGTTGCCATGGCAACGATCGTCATGGTAACGAGTAAACAAAAAGCCAATTCCCGTGGTGAGGAAATGCGTGGTTGCCAAGTTGTATCGGGTTTAGTTTGGCCATGTTTGGCTGAAATCAGTTATGAAAAAACTGAAAAAATCCGATTCTCGTGGTGAGGAAATGCGTGGTTGTCAAGTTGTCTCGGAGATATATTGCACTCTTCAATGCAACCATCCTTCGCGTGCCAAGCTATTCGATAAAATCAAATAGAAACGGAGCCATTTTGGAATATTCATTACGAGGTATCCCGCAGGGTATAGGAAATGAGACACAGGTACTGGTTGTCTAATACAGATCGATGGAAACATTTAGGCCCAAATTTCGATCTTCCCACATTTTCATTTGCCTTCATTTCGATTCACCCATACCTTTCTTCACGCGCACATTTTGATTCAGCCACAATCTTCAAACACACACGAACGATGCCTTGCTACCAAATCTGATCGATGTTGGAAAATATATTTCTTTCAAGAAGAAGGTTAATTTAAGCCGAGTTAGGTTAGATTCTTTAGAAAAAGTAGTGTCCTTTTTTATGCAGAAGGGATATTTTCCTTCCTCCCTGAAAAAAGTACCTAGTGTCTTTTTAGGAAGAAGGTTCATTTAGGTCCAGTAAAGTTAGATGGTTAAAAAAAAGTAGTGTTTATGCAGGAGTGATATTTTCCTCCCTTCCTTGAAAAAGGACTGTGGAGGTATTCATTGTTAAGAAACGTTTTGACAACATTAGTTTCGAGAGTGAAAGGTTTGTTTGGCTGAGATAGATGGTGTTGTTTTGAATAATGGTGATTTTAGGTCTGATTAGGTCAAGTTAGCAGAATCAAATAACCCATGAATATCAACTACTTGATAATAAAAATGTATTGGGACACAAAATACTCACTTGGATTCTTTCTGAGGAGACAATTGTCTCTTCAGAAAGTTGCTATTTTCAATCCATGTACCTTTTACCACTGGAATATCTTGTTAACATTTTCAAGATTTAGGACAATGGTATATCTCCAAATTTGTTTCTCTAAAATAATAATGCGAAAATGGTTCACCCGGATTCTTGTGTTTCTTGGATTTGGACTTGCAATGAGGTCTTGCTGGCACCAAACCTTGACTCAGAAGGAAATTCATAACTATCTTTCTTCTGATTCCTCAAATGTTGTGAATTTTTGAAATGAAATAAAAAATAGAAAACTTGGAAACCACGCATTTACTCATCAGAGGAATCTGGTTTTTGTTTAGTCGTTACCATGACTATCATTGCCATAGCAACAGTTTTTCCATTGCTGATTTCAGCTAAACTAAACACGATACAACTTGGCAACCACGCATTTCCTCACCATAGAATTTGGATTTTTGTTTACCTGTTACCATGACAACGGTTGCCATGGCATTATTTTTTCCACAACTGATTTCAGCTATACTAAACCCGATACAACTTGGCAACCACGCATATCCTCACCACAGGATTTTGTTTTCTAAATACTGTCTAAATTTTCCATAACTGATTTCAGCTAAACGAAACTTGAACCCTGATTGGTCTATCAGCCAATGATGTTTTCAACGATGTAACAATGATGGAAGTAAGATATGGTGCGCGTATTCGGCCATTATTACGTATTGAAAATTTCAGAAAAATCACTCGACCGCCTACTATGATTTCTCTACGTCACAACGAGCGAGACGTTGATTCTACATTTTCCCGCTAGATGGTGATGCTGCTTTTGCTGCTGTGACGAGTGGAAATAAAATGGCAAATGGCATTTTAGGTACGCGGAACATGTAACAGTGGGATTATTCAACTCTGAATTCGAAAAATCTGCGACAATTTCGAAAGTGACAGATGTCATAATTGTGCAATGTCGCCATCTATTAGAAGATCGACGGGACCATTGCTCTCGCTGTTCTCGAGAGGTCCAGTAAAATGTATGAAACAAAAGCGCATCAGTAATTACACCATATCTTACTTCCATCATTGATGTAACCATGGATAGCGAAGCAAAGTCTGTCAGTTTTTATGCTTCGTGAACGTGAAATAGTCTAGCAAAATACCACTCTGTTTTGAATATCCCCGACTTTTGTAGATCAGACAAGTGCTTGACAAGCCACAGAAGAAACGTAGCGTCACCAACGATGACGTTTCACAACGGAAGTCGAGCAAAGATGACGATGACGGCATGACAATAGATGACGATGACGACGACGACTCGAATGCCAGTGCCAGCCCTGTTAAGGGCAAGGGGCTGTGGGGCGATACCTCCAACTCGTCGAAGCCTACTCGAGGTCCCGGCTCTAGGGGTGGTAGGGGTTCTAGGGGTCCGAGGAGAGCGAGAGGCAAGGGGCGGGCGAATTGAATTTCTGTTGATGTCCTATGTTTATTTTGAGTTGCATTCCTTTTATGTTTTTTTGTATCAATAAAACTGTTCAGTTATTAAGTGATTTCTCTATGCAGGGTGTATCTAAATAACACAGAAAAAATTCAAGGGATGATTCCTTGGGCTATTCAAGCAAATAAAGCTCATATAAACATGTATCATAACTTGCTCTGTGTTTGAGATACAGGATAATTAAGTTTATTTATTTATTTATCAAACATATCTTCCAGTCAGAACAAGTTCTGGTATGAGAAAGAACATAGTTATAGAATAATAAGTAATAAATATCTATGAACTACTAGACAAACATGAGTAGAAGTGAACATGAATAATAAATCATAATAAATCAGGATATCACAAGTTTGAAGTATCAATTGTTTTTATCGAGGTTTTTATTTATAACCTCCCTGTATGAGCTTTCATATGGTGCCAAAATTCAGTGTTGTTGGAGACTGAGGAAGCCCTAAAATCCCAAAATGATTGTGGTTATTGAGTAATCTCAATGGAAGACTTGAAAAACCTACAGTAAAATTTGGAGTCAATTCGAATTTGTATTGTTTCCTCAAAAAATAAGCCAGATACTAACATCACCCCAGTAAACATTTTTTTGTTTCTGAAATGTTTCGGAAACGTAGTATTTGATGCATGAAACATTGCATTCAAAGTTGCCTACATGTTTCAGAAACATTCCAGAAACTAGAGATGTCCGCCCTCAGGGATGTTTCGAGGAAATGTTTCTAAATAATGAGTCGAATACGCAAATTGAAACATTTTGGAAACATTTCTACCATGATCATATCCTGCAGGAATGTTCCATGCATAGAATTGTCTCAGAAATCCAAAAATGTTACAATATACAGGGTGTTTCATTTAAAAATTTAGAATCGGAGCAATTTCCGGTGAAACCGGAAGTGACCGGAAAGTGAAAAATATATGAAAACTCTCCTCTTCACATACCTATACCAAATCTCATTTTGATACACCAAATGGTCTAGAAGCTATGACTTGTCCAATAGATTCGTTGACACCCGGTATATATAGAGACAAAGGCTAGTAGTAGTAGTAGTACTGTGGGGAGGCTGTAGCCAGGCAAGTAGGCCCCCATGGGCCCTTTTTGCCAACCCCTGCTCTCCACATATCTACACATCCCTCTTTTAGTTGTCCTTTTCGAACCGTCCCGTCCTTCTGATGAAGGTCAGGATGTCCGTCCACTCTCTAATTCGACCAAATCTTCCTGTTGTAGTTTATCTACTCCAAAGATTTCGAATCTCATCCTTCCATACGCCTCACATTCTCCGAGGAAGTGAAGTGCGTGATGTCTCCTCATCTTCACGCATTCGCGGCAAGTGGGACTATCTTCCACACCTACGAGTGATAGGTGCCTGCGTAACCTGTTGTGCCCTGTCAGTATCCCTATAAGAAGGCGCAGGACTCGGCGATCCCTGCCCAGTAACCAAGCAGTCTTTGGCTTGCTTGGACCGCCCACCAGGTCTCTCGATTGCCTGCAGCCGCCTATACGTCTCCAATATACTTACTTCTAGTGCCTCGTCTGCCCATTTGTTAAGGGCCAGACGAAGTTTGGCTTCTTGTTATGCCCAGTGCAGGCTCCGGCCCCCAGAACGGTGTCGCGGATCCGATTCTCGCCAGCTCGTCGGCCACCTCGTTCCCGGGCACCCTCCTGTGCCCCGAACCGGAACCCATACTAGTTCGACTTCCTTTTGTTCAGCTAGTTTCTCAAGAGCATCGTCACATTCCTGCACCAAAGCTGAGCTTGGTTTAGGATGGCAGACAGCCCTAAGAGCCGCCTGACTATCCGAGCAGATGTAAATCTTCTGCTCTGGTCCCTCTTTATTCACCTCTTGCCTCTCCGCTACTGCCAGAATGGCAAAGACCTCAGCCTGGAAAACTGTGGTATACTTTTCAAGAGCGTAGCTCTCTCTTATGCATATTCCTTCTAGGTAAATTCCTGCACCTGAGTCTAAATTTCTCACCTTCTGTGGGTTGAAAATAAATCACGAATGCATTCACTACTCTTCAATCAATCAATCAAAATATACTTTATTGTCGAAAGATAAATCTCATTGACAAAGCCTTTACATAAATACACACGTATAATTATAAAAATAAAAAAAATTAAAAACGGTATAGTAACTCAACAGGTACATGTCACAATTAAAATTCATACATATATACTTATTTACTATAAATAAAACACTAAAAATGGGACAAACATGTTTGAACATAAATATGTAAAATTGTAAATATGAAGTAAATATATAAATAAATAGATGAATAGAATTCAATTTCAAGAACTATTCCAATCTTTGTTAAGAAATTCTTGAACATTATATAGAGTGCCTCCTCAACAAGAACTTGCTTTACAGATTTTGAGAGGAGATATTCTTGAGACTGACCGGAAGATGGTTATACAATTTGGCAGCCAGGTAGACCACTGAATTTTTAATCAAGTTTGTTGATGGGATAGGCAGTCTCAAGTTGTTATTGTTTCCAACAACGACGTATTCACTCCTTTATATCAGCAAATAAATGGGGAAAATTTTTCGATGATGAAAAATATCTATTCTACCAGCATATATAAATAGGGAGATTTTAAGGGGCATACCAGTGGGGGGGTCAAGAAACACAAGAAGACAAAATTTGTGCATTGTGGAAAATGCGCCGCAGGCGAAATTCTTTGGGGTTCGAGGTCATCAAAAACTCCATCCAGTGTTTACCAGGAAGCGGGTTCAAAAAACCCAAACAAAATTTTGCACGGTGAAAATGCGCCGCGGGTGGAAATTTTATTGGGATTTATGTGGTCAAATGCGTTGAAATTGAAAATTGAATTTCACATAATTATATTTATAGATTATATTCATGCAGTCGCATAATATGTTCTCACTTTATTGCAATTGATATAAAATGAACTGAAGACAGGTATAAATGAGTCATTTATGCATAAGTTTATTATTGTCGTGATTTTCACATTTTGGAAAGATTTACTTCCTCATTATTTAGGCTTACATTTTATGTATGCTATATATGCCTCTTGAAATATTTTTATTTTCATCGATTATATGGTCACATGCAGGAAAGAATCTAAGTGGATTGCATTTTTCAGGGGGGAGGCAATTGCCCCAGGAATTCCAGGAATTCTTTCGACAAAGGAAGTTTAGTGTACCCGAAATTGATGACCCGTGATTCGCCCCTCGATATATTTGTGTTATTATTTCACAAAATGATCTCATCTCCCCATGAATTAAATGTCAAATTTCAAGCAATGACAGCCCAGCAAACATCGAAAGGCGGTAGAAAGCCGGGCCCATGGCGAGAACGGCGGGCAAATGTCGATGTCGGCATGCCTCGAAAGGCCCTCCAAATAATTTCAAAGGATTATGTGACGAAGGCAGAATGTACACATACTTATTATAGGCCTCTGTTTCCCAGTCGCTAGTTTTCCGCTGTATGTATCCAATTCAAAGGGCCATCAAAATTTCAATGGAGTGTGCCATCATCACTCACTCAACGTTGGCATCCCTCGCTCGCGTGAATTTTTATTTTGATCATTTTGCAGTGGTAACAATGATTCAGTATGGCGTATATTGATTTCTTTGTTTATGTTGTCTCAACACTCTCAAAGATTCTTGCGGTGAACGTCGTATGGTCAACATCGTCAGCGTGTCGTATAGAATTTTACCGGTGAAATCCTGCTACCTAATCATAACCTGTGTCCTGTAGTAGAAGCAGTAGAAGGGTGTATATTTCTGATAACTAAAATAAGTAAGTGTATGTAGTTGTCCTGTCTGGGGTAATTTTTCTGGGAAATAGTAGAATTTTGGAAATTTTTTTCCTGTTATACATATTTTTTCGGAATTGTAAAATCTTATTCTTGGCTTTAGTTCAAAATGGGTGATAACTCCCCCGGTGATCCCGGGGGAAGTTTAACTTCTCTCAGTAAAGATGTTTCGGAATGCAAACAATTGATAGATAGATCGCCTTCCACTAGGGAAGCGGTTGGCAATTTATTCTTATTCGCGAACAATCATGAATTCAATCCTCATATATGTAATGAATTAATTTCAAATATTAACATCAATGAGGAATTTATCTCTGAATTCAATGAAACTATAAAAGATGGATATTACTTTGATGAAGAAAGTGATCTCAAGGTCAAATTTCCTTCATCAAAAATAAACATTTTATCAGACCTGTTGGTGAAAAAAGCCGACTCTTCAGATAGGAATGTCAACAAAAAAACTCCAAGGACAGAAACAAATAAACCTAGGGAGAGCAAGAAATCTAAAATAGATAATGGAAATAAAAATAACCTTGATAATAACTCAAAGGAATCATCTCCTCAAAATGATTTAATGGATTGTAATTATGAAAATAATGCTACAGGGAATAATAATATCAATACTGATCAAGAAAATAGATTTGATAAATCTGATTTTGGCCCATTCTCTATTTATATTGAATCTTTAGACAAAAACATTGGTTTTCTATCCAATTTAGCGGTAGGCAAAATATTTCATCAGAGCTCAAGATATAACCCAACTTCTATTGAGAGGAGAGGGAAAAATAGACTACTACTTACCTTCAAAAAAATAGAGGAGGCAAATAATTTACTAGAAGATAATCATTTCTTAACAAAAAATAACTTTAATGCTACCATTCCTAACAACTTGATCACATGTAAGGCGATTGTTAAAGATGTTGATACCACTTTTTCTGAAGAGGAAATAAAACAAAATATTAAAACAATAGATAATAGGAAAATAGTTCATGTGAGGAGACTGAAGAAAAAGAGTATAGTTAATGGTGAAATGCAATATATAGATATTCCAGTAATATTAGTAACTTTCAGAGGGAAATATATTCCCAAAAACATTTACATATACAATTGCGTTTTTGAAACTTTAAACTATTATGCACCAGTTATTCAATGCCACAATTGTTTAAGATACGGACATACTAAATTACAATGTAAAGGAAAAACCAGATGCCCGAAATGCGCAGGAAATCATGAAAAAGATCTATGCCATGAAAACGAACC